ATCCCATGACCTCCAGTTAATGAACACTTTGGACTGTAATATTAATCTTTACTGGCGTTTCTGCGGCATCGAATTACATAACTTAAGAGTTCTCATAACACAGAAGTGTCATAGAGATGGTCCTGTCTGACAAAATTGGCATTATATCTGGTAAGCGTAAAACTTTTTTAGAAAACATGTATGTAGGATCCAATTTCCAAAATGTAAACTTGACGACCCTTTCAACATGACAAAACATTGATTTCTAGCAATTTAATGCATATTTAGTTAGCCAGTCCCAATGAATACACTTATTTCAATTCTAACAAAGAATTCGCTTTTTACTGCCAAATTTCACCAAATCACTAGAATTAATGGGACTTATCTACCTTATTTCTCAATATTACACACTTATTAAATATATTTTTACCTATTTTTCTATAGCATTCCAAACAGAACTATATTTTATATAGGACGTATATTCCAGTAAGTTGTATCTGTACTTATTGAGGTGCTTACACATACTTTAAAATGTTATCTTGAATCATCGACTAGTATGAATATTTAATTAAGAGTCAGGTCGTGTACAAAAACAATTGGCACGAGGAAGATATATAGTCTCAGACTAAAATGGGGTCGAACATAAAGATCGTGTTACTCATACAAGTTAAAAATAACAAAACTAAAAACGGTGTTCTAAAAGTTCAAAGGGCTATATTAGACGGTACTGAATTAAATCAGTCTCTAGTGTCTGTAATGTTATGGTTCAAATTCTTATGTACCTAACATATCACATACTGTAACTCATACAAAATGTACCTAGTTTAAAAGCTAAGAACCAACAGTCTTGTTTGTTTCAACCTGTTTTAACAAAAATAGAATGTTTAAATAGCATACACATTTTCCATTTCGACTCTGCTTGGGGAAGCTAAAAGGTTGGAAAGAAGCCAATGTGGAAGAAGAATACCAAAAAGTGTAGTATGACATATATATGAATGAATACGAAACTATTTTCCGTTAATAAAACAAGAAAGAAAAGAAATAGAAAAGACCTCACTGAAATGTAGCATGGTTTAATTATGCGACATATAGTTTATAGAAAAATAACAATCAGACGACCTCAAAAACAAAAAATCAAACGAACAAATTACGTTGCGTGACTAAACAAAATATTATTTGTCAGTGACAAAAATGTTCAGAAACAGGCCAGAAAGTGGATAAATGAATGGACTGTTTAATCGCTAGAGGAGTAAATACTGTAACAGTTTAAGTAGTCTAAAATTAAAAATGTGTAAGTTAATTTGCCGTAAGTTCATTCTTATTGAGATATACTATTTTGTAAGTATTGATATATAAAGTTATAACTAGGAAGGGTATATATATATATATATATATGTATATATTATACATATAACTGATATAGATATATCTACTGCTTATTGACACTGCAGATGTACACATGTTATGAAATATATGGTAGAGGGGGGCATGTTTAGGTTTAGTCCTTTACATCTCTACTTCACAAAGATAATCATTTTCCTTACCTTTTTTCTATTCTCACTCAGCATTTTGTTAGTTTATGACTCCTTCTTTTCTGGAATTCTTTAATGATCACACGACTGGAGGCTGTGAACTTATCACTGATGTTGTTCCCTTTTAACCAGCTGGAGGCATTTGACGTCAGCGAAGGAAGGGCGACCAGCAATGATTCTGATTGGTGGGACTGAAAAAAAAATATGGTAGTATAGGAGAATTATACAAACAAGGTTTAATAGCACCATATACATGTTATAACACTACAAGTCTAGAGGTGTAGTTTGGTCAAAAGAAGGCGTGACAACCATTATGTTTGTGATTGGTTAATACTCAAAATACAAGTTTTAGACAGTTTGGAACAAATCTGTCGTTTTACTTGAATTGTTTAGGTGACTTTTTCATAAAATATAGGTATTCAGTGTGGGTAAACAACGACAGGTCAGTAAAAAACATATCCATATACTAAGTCTCATGATACGAACGAGAAATTAATATTACAACAAATTGTAAACTTATAACAAGAAATTTTAAGGCAAATTGGCTATGACGCATATGAGGCACTTAAGTTCTTTGGTTGATCAAAAAGAGCTTAAAAATAGTACCAGTATTAATCTACAAACTGTTTTACTTGTCGTAAGAGACGTCTGTTGTTAAGTCAAAAACGAGGAAAAAGGGTACCTCATTGTTTTATAATAATATTATCAAATATATTTGGCATTAATCCTAATTTGATCTAATTGATTTCCTTCTTGTTGTTTACATTTGTAGATTAACAGAGAGAGATGAAACTTTTAAACAAAAATGTGCGTAGAAAATCAAAAATTAATATGAATAATTATTTTTATTTATTTATTGCATGTACTTCAATACACCGATATTATTTCATCAGTTCAAATTTAAATGTCTTTGCGGTATTCCTAATTGAAAACCAGACCATATACTTTACTATGTTTTGTGATCAAAGCTGATTTTCAAGAAGGTAATGCTTATGATGTACAACAACCTTTTGATGTCGAAGTTATTAATGAAAACTGCGTGCAATAACACCATTTAATTGTAAAGATCACTGAATTCACTTCCTAGGTTCATCATGATAATATGTTATGCAATTGTCCCCTTCTTAAGCCCAGATCAGTGAAAATGTGATTAGTTGTGATCATACGTCAGATTCCTCTAGTGTGAAGGTTCTTCTTAAAAATAAGCAATGAAATTTTGAGAATAAAACGAACTAACAAACTTGCATAATGTATTTATGACCTTAAAGTCTATGTTCTTGTGCGAATTTATCATTATGTGTATTTCAATTCATAATATTAAACTTTGCAGGACATCTTTTAACATGTTTTAAAATTATTGTTATTCCTTTCCAATTGTGGTTATATGTGTAGCCTATTGTCTTACGCCCCCAGTGGCACAGCGGTATGTCTGCGGAGTTACAACGCTAGAAACCGGGTTTCGATACCCGTGGTGGTCAGAGCACAGATAGCCCATTGTGTAGCTTTGTGCATAACTTCAAACAAACTATTGTCTTACAATAATTTAATATAAGAACATTATAATTTTGATTGAGACAGAAAATCATGTGAATGAATGTTAAAGGATTGGATTTTATATTAATTACACAAGCGAGGGAGTTTTCTATTTGAGCCTGATCGAACATTTATTGGGGGATTTGAATTACTTTACAAATAGAAGCAAACACAATACATACATGCTGAAAATTTCAATCTTTGTGACCATCTGAAATTGGATCTTATTAAAAAGCAGAAATGATACATATTTGAGAATTTTTTAATAGATGTATCAAATTGGTCACATTAAGTTATAAAACTTTATAAACTGAGTTTAAAAGAATATAAATATATTGTGAATATGAAGTAGAATATCAAATTGGCAATCTAATTTGTATGTATGAGAACAAGAAAGAATTTCATCCACGTGACGCGATTATGTGTCTTCAAAGCATCATGATATTGAGAAATATTTTGCCACATTCTCAATACAGTTTATAACTGTATAATATTCATATTGTTAAGTCTCTGTTCGTTAGTTAATTTTCCGTAAATTCGTTCCGACGAAACTTCCGACACAAGTCCTTTCT